CTTACAGAATGGTACTGTTTCTAATATACAAGAACATCTGTTATTTGGCACAAACTGGGAATGAGATGTTCTGTATTAGGGAGTTTTTAAAATAATAAGCTTAACCCATAAATACTTAAATGACACTTTTACCTTCTTTTGGAAGTAGGAGATAATATTTTTTTCTAAACGAATATGCACTTTTTAACCTCTCAAATACTGTGATAATTTTAGCCTTCTTTCAATGACATTACGTCATAAATATGAACATCAGTATTTATATTTTTCTGTGCATATGCATATACAAACACACAGATAAGCATCAGTATTTGTATCATCCTGTGCATATATGTGTATATACATTTATGTATATATGTGTATATGTGTGTGTGAGTGCATTTGCATATGACAGACATGATGAGGGATCATAAAGAAAATGGTGTAGAATATGAGGCCGAATGACTAGCAACCCCATGCTTTGCTTGGCAATTCTGGCACCTTTTTCATAAAGATACGTATTTCTTCANTATATGTGTATATGTGTGTGTGAGTGCATTTGCATATGACAGACATGATGAGGGATCATAAAGAAAATGGTGTAGAATATGAGGCCGAATGACTATCTATCAGATGCTCTTTGTTTCAATAATGGCACCTTTTTCATAAAGATACGTATTTCTTCATAAAGATATATACTTTTCCATAAAGATATATACTTTATACCTTTTTCATAAAGACACATACTTTTCATAAAAGTATATATCCTACACCCAGTCACTCACTACTACCAGAAGAGCATTCTTCTAAGTTCTGTGATGTCCTCTATGGCAGCAAAGCATGGCCAAATCCACAAAATACCTTATTAGTGACAGTCTAAAGCAATCTACTCCCAGAGTAACTTTCCTCATCCCCCAGAAAAATCTGTTCCTCAGCAGCAGTCTGTTACTTAGGCATCACTGATACCATGCAGCTCTCTGTGGCAGTTTGCATTTACTCCTCTTATCTGAATAACTGGGCTAATGCAATATGAAGAAGGAACCTAACATCTTCATTTCAAGAATCGGTACTAGGGTGTGATGGCAAAGGTATCTTTAAAAAACTATAAATTCTTTACTAGCAGAAGCTGATAATACTTCTATAGACATGACTCTAAATGCAATTCTATAAATTTTATTAAGCCATACCTAATGCTTGATTTTGACAGGTAATATGAACATCTGCTTTTTCAATAACCCAAAAAGACTAAAACTTCTTAGAGAATCTTAAAGTAGAAACAGTATACAAGGGAAATAATAAAGGAATCTATAGTATAAGGTTTTTGAGGATTAAATGAGTAAATTCATAAAAACGTGCTCAGAATAGTGCCTGGTCACATATTATTATCTAAAGCAATGATTCTCAACATGGGATTGGTCCAATACCTAAGGGGCTATTTTTGATTGTCCTAATGATTGGGTTGTCACATGAGAGCCAGTGGTGCTAGTCATTTTGTATGACTTTTGAATGACTAACTGAACTTAGAAATCCCAATAAGTGGGGATAGTTCAAAAGAACTATTTTCTGCAATCTACATGAATATTTCATTCCATGGCATAACAGTGAATTATTTTGATACTATACATATAAAAACTAGTTGATTTGCAAGAATATTATTTTTCCTTATTTTTTCAACTTGATATCCTATGATTTGTCTTGCTATGTTATTCCTATTTTGATTACCTGTATTTCCCTATTTCTCTTATGAGATTTAATTTCATTTTATTATTACTAACATGAGCTTTCATCCTAAAACTATAGATCTGCTCAGGGCTATGACACTGTAGAACTCCAGATGGCACTATTTGCATTATACTCTATACAGCTCATAAATCCCTACAACTGTGCAGCTTGACTGCCTTGCCTCTGCCTTACATTTTCCAGTTATCTTATTTTTCTGATATCCAGGCTTATTCATTATAAAGAAGGACAAAGGCTATCCCACTATGTCTTCATATGTAGGTTTATGTGAGCTCATACATAATGTATTATTATTTTACTTGTTTTTCTTTTATAGAAATATATCATATAATTAAGGTATAATAATTTTCTGTACTTACATATTTGGAAGGCTACATTTTCTGTGAGTTTCACTTAAAAAGGTGTGGTAGGTATTATAAGATGTTAAGAAAGGCAGTGTTAAAACTGATACAGACCTGGTGATTTAAACGGGAACTCAATTTTCTTATAAACTTGCACAGATCACAGAATAGTAAAACTACATGGAGTCTTAGATAAAAAGTAATTTGTACTCTTCCATAATAACATTTTGTATTATGAGTCGTATCTTGGTTCACAGTGTGACTCTATTCTGTTTGATTCAGAATTTGGCAATTTTCAGTAAAACACACATATTTCATGAAATCTATTCAGGCAACTGATTGTTTTAAAATAGTGTTTATAGGGCAAAATTCTGCTAACTGATTATAATATCACATCTTTCTTGGAAATGTCAAAGTCAAACATCAGAAAATGTGCATAGATCAAAATACTGAGGTTAAAATTTTTTTTAAAGTAAGCACTGGGTCTACTTTTTATAGTACAGAATACATATTGTAGGACAGCTCATATGATATAGTCTCTTTTATTACTTATGTGATAACATATATCCTCTCAGAATTCCTTCTTTCCTTCTTATTAGAGTGTATGATACTATCAACTCTTTCTCATTTTAAACTTTTTATATATGCTCTGTTTTTAAAAAAATCTTATCTGTATTGCTTAGGTTTTGGCTTAAGAGGTTTGGCTTTAATAACCAGTCAGAGTTGTTTATTTTTGGTTGGTGAACTAAGCTGTAAATTCTAAAAATACTGCTATTTTGATGTTGTGCATCAATCTGAAAATCTCAGTAGTTTACAAAAATAAGCATAAATTCTTGCACATGGGTGTATAAGAAGCTCTGTTTCTATAATGCCATATGGGTCCATATCTGCTCCACATGTTTCTCATTCTGGGATCAGAAGCTATCTAGGACATGCTCATCCTATAGCAAATGACAGAGCACAGGAGGTCAAGTCAAACCAGGCAAAATATTTGAAGTTTCTGTGTCACATCTGTGAATGCTACAATGGCCTAAACAACTCACAAGCTAGGGACAATCAGTAGAGAAAATCACCTTCATGGGAAAGGGAAAGGAGAGCAAATATTTGTTGAGCAGTAATATGAACAACGACAGTCTAGCAAAATAAGAAACTTAGAGGCCATGTAGTGAGGTTTTAAAAAAATTAAATTTATTTAAATGAAAGGACTTATTCTTTAATTAGGCCTTTCCTACTTTTTAGAGTAATGATGTCCTTTCTTTTATAAAATGATAATGGTAGAAGGCAGTAAATTTAAAAGTTTTATATTTGAAAAAATAAAAAAGTTAGCAACGCTATGTCAGTCCCCTAAATTTTTGGAGAAATTTGCTAGTTTACAAAAAAATCTAGAAGTCATAAGAAAAACAAACAGGCAAACACAGACTACCGAGTGTGATGATCCTAGGTCTCTATGGCTTTTGTTCACTATTCACAGGTTATTCCTTGGCTTGCAAAGACACTCACTTTCCCCCTTTGCAGGTTTCATTATTTAAAATACTTGTGATTAGGAGAGTCTATCTTTTAAAGAGCTGAAATGCCATTATTTATTTCCAGTGATCGAATTTTTACTTTAAAACGATTCCATTTACTCTTCAGGTCACTATACCAACTTGGTTTTGTAATACCTGGGGCCTCAGAAACTTAATGTTATGTAAATCTGTCATATCGCTGACATAAAAATTTTAACAGGCAGCACAAAAAGAATAATGGCCTACGACCCCAACACTTTAAAAAGATGAGTTATATTAAGAAGATTAAAAATTTAAAATGTAGCTGGCAGCTTTACTTCTAATGTGAAGTCATACATATTTAATAGTTTTATATGTACATAAGTACCAATAAATACTAAGGATTTTGGCATAGTTTTATGAAACATTATGCAAAACAGCAGAGCAGCAGTTTTTTTCTTCCTCACAGTATTGTTAAAGCAAATGAAGCAACTGACACCCTTCCAATGACTGATGCACTCATTTCACTCCTGACTCCTCAGCTTATTTCAACCTGCTATTGTTTTCATCTTATTCTTTACCTGTGATATTCTCCAGCTTTAGGCACTATTAAAATGTTATAGCTACCTCATCTATCCTAAGTTAGGGGGTGGGGAAGAAGAAAATAATAGTTGACATGTATTGTATCTACAGAAAACCTTATGTAGAAACCTCTGAATTTATCAAAACACTAAATTTTCCATCAGGCTTATGTAGCAGATAAGAGTCATAGTTCATTATTAAACACTAACTTATATAGGATCTGTGAGGTAACTTGACAACTACATTTTATTCCTACTCATCTTGTCCAAAATTGGGGAATTTGATCCAATATATGTTTGGGCATTTTTTTTTTTTTTGAGACAGAGTCTTGCTCTGTCACTCAGGCTTGAGTGCAGTGGCACAATCTTGGCTCACTGCAACCTCAGTCTCCCAGGTTCTAGCGATTCTCTTGCCTTGGCCCCACGAGTAGCTGGGATTACAAGTGCACACCATTACGCCTGGCTAATTTTTGTATGTTTAGTAGAAATGGAGTTTGCCATGTTGGTCAGGCTGGTCGTGAACTGCTGACCTTGGGTGATCCACCTGCCTTGACCTCCCAAAGAGCTGAGATTACCGGTGTGAGCCACTGTGCCTAGCCCAATACATATCTGGATTTCGTAAAGGTCAAAATCTGAAATAAGACATAGAAGACACCCATGAGAGGCAAGGGAACTTTTCATTAATGGCGACGAAGACCCAACTCACTGGTTTTGAAACTCATGTTTGTGTCATACCTACAGTTCAAATAAGGTATGCTTCTTCTACAACACTCTGTAGAATTTATATAAAAGTCACTTTTTTTTCTCATTTAAAAAATGTAATTCTCATTAAAACAAAATGAAAATTTAAAAAGGTGGTTATAACATAAGCAACATACCTGCAGGTATGATCGTCACTCACACTTGCAATTCCTTGGCCACCTTTGGGATCAAACACCAAACCATTAATGAAATCTGAATGGCCCTCTAAAACCTGACAGAAAGAGAAAACTTAGTATGAAAACAGGAAAATCTATAATATTCCTATATAATATTTTTGCTTCACTGCCTTAAAAGCTTTCACTGCATGTTTTTCTATAAATATTTCTTAAGCAATCTGCTATTTTTAAAGCATGATTTATACACCCACTTTTTGGAAGGTTTATCTTGGAAAGAAATTGATCATTCAACACACTATTAGCTTAGCCTTTCTTTTTTAGTATGCATTTCTTACAAAAACACACATACATTTTTATTGTACCTGTCCTCATATCACCTCCTTTCTCACTTTTTATATAAAGCTTAAATAAAAATCATAGCTAGAAAACTTTTTAGGGGTATTGAGGTAGAGTGCCTCTAGGCTTTTTACCTTATAACTGTTGCTCTGTATACTCACTACTACTTAACAAACACCCACAGGATGGACTTCACCATCTAATGCCTTCATTTACATGTTCAATGTGACTGCCAGCAGTGAAAACAGCTAGTTGTTATAAGACCATAGTCATCATCAACACAAAAATCTTTGCCTTGACAGAGAAGCAACAAATGAGACGCTGCATGCTAGAGGACTGTGTGAGCAGGGAAGGTTCAATCTGTCTAAATCTTCATGGTTGAAATCCTAAATAGGCCTGTCAGATAATTACTTTAAAGATTATCATTTTTTCTACCCTTCCTTCTTTCCAAAAACTCAAATTTGATCTCATTCTGAGGTTATTAGAGCAGTTCTGATAGTACTGCTCACTATGTAGAAATGTAACATGAAAAGAAAAAAAAAAAAAGAAAAGAAAAGGATTTGGTTCAAACATTCCTGAGTAACTTTAACAAACCCAGGTCCTCCAAATCATTCTCCAAAGCTTCTGTCACAGCTTACAAGACAAACTAAATTAACAGTGCATGTTTAATGTGTATTATAACTAGCATTTTAACTTTGGATAGGTCAAAATTTTATGTGTATTTATATACTTGGTTATTTTTGTTATAGCCTTAAATCAGCCAATCTGTACAATAGATTAAGCCAACTGTAAATAGCTTAGAGTATGATTTTTTACTATTTTCTAAATGACGGGAAAGGTTTAGTTTATCTTTGTTTTATAACAATATTCATATTTTGGTTTATTGGAAAACCAAGAAGGCAATACCATTCTTATAAGAAAACACGATGTAATTTCGACCCAACCTGAGGGTAATTATTATAGTAACAGAAAACACACATATGGGTTTTACTATGTAACCAAGCATTATTCTAAGTGTTTTACATGAATTTGCTCAGTCAATGATCATAATTCTATAAGGCAGCTGCTATGATTACCCATGTTTCACAGCTGAGGATATTAGCACAAAGAGATTGGGTTACGTAACCAAGGTCACACCATTACTAAGTAATAACATGGAGGTTTAAATGCAAGGAATATGGCTTCTGTGTCTGTGCTCTTAACTACTTTGGAATCCGGCCTGTGCTATGCTGTGCTGATCATTTGTCCCCTTGAAGTTCAACTCTTACTCTATGGATGTTCATGTCGATTATATTCCTAATATATCCAACTTTGAATTTCTAATTCTTTCTTATTTCTTGTTCCTACCTAACATTTCAAGTTAATAAATGATATGAGATTTATAATCTGCAGTCATTATTAAGAACCTAGTTCTTAATATAGTAACCTAGTTACTATTACCCATAGTAGAGTAAATGAGACCCTAAATTATATACTTTAATGATGACCATAAAAAGTCATTTTAAATTGGGATAAATTCAATTAAAGCAGCAAAAAATAAACACGTTTCAAAATAAACCCTAAAGATTTGTATAGCCATCAACATACCTTATATTCATTTTTATCTTGAAGATCTGAAGTAAATAATCTAATTTTCAAATCAGCAGCTGAAGTACAAAATCTGGAAGCAATAAAAAACAAAAATATACCAATTTTCAGCCTTTGAAGGGAAAGGTCTCTCCCTCCCTCCATCTTTCCCTCCAGGTCACTGAAGTTTTTATCAGTAAGTCATAATCATGCTTTTTATGGAGGGAGAAAGAAGAATGTTGTGGCTCCACTGTAAAAAGTATTGCATAGCCATCACAGAAAGTGGGAGTCACATTATTTTGAGAGCATACAAAAGTTTAGTCTATTCTGGATTTGCTTTTTCAATAATAAAGTATAGAATTTTACACTAAATCTTGAATTTAATTTTAAATGTTTTCTTAAAAGCATAAAAGGATAGATTTTAAAAATTATCTTCATTTTAGCCAGTCAACAAGAGATGTTAAAAATATTGTTACACACCTACCTTAGTCTTTGCCCTCTTCTGTTACCCAAAATCCTTAGTTTTTCTATTTCTCCAAATAAATCAGATTATGTAAGATATTTTTTATACCTATAAAAGCTGGCATATTTATACTTGCTAAAGGCTGGAGTATTATTTATACTTTAAACATTTAAGATACATTTTTCAGTAGTTCATCAATGGATTATCAAATTAAAAAACAAAACCTAAGCCGCAAACAACTCCTTTTTTTTTTTTTTTTTTTTGAGACAGAGTCTTGGCTCTGTTGCCCTGGCTGGAGTGCAGTGGCATGATCTCAGCTTACTGCAGCCTCCACCTTCCAGGTTCAAATGATTCTCCTGCCTCAGCCTTCCGAGGAGCTGAGATTATAGGCGCCCACCACCACACATGGCTAATTTTTGTATTTTTACTAGAGATGGGGTTTCACTATGTTGGCCAGGCTGGTCTTAAACTCCTGACCTCAGGTGATCTGCTTGCCTCGGCCTCCCAAAGTGCTAGGATTACAGGTGTGAGCCACTAAGCCTGGTCAACAACTACTTCTTAAACTAGTTTACCTTTAATCCTAAATTTTCTAGATTCTCAGGATGTGAGACAATGGCTGTGAAAAAAATATAAATTATATTTATATAGTGAAAAACAATTTATTTTCAATTCTTTGGTAAAAAGAGTATCATACAGATCTAAATTTATTCTTTAGTTTGACTACTGTGAGCCATTTTTTTCCTCAACTACTAAATTTGAAGAACTCCATAAAGCAAGGCTATTAATCCACAGACCCTGATGTGTTGGTAGACCTTTGCTACTACAATCCCATTCCAGTAATTTGTCAAGAGCCGTTAGAGAAAACAGAACAAAGCTACCAGGGAATGATTCTTTGCCCAAGGTCTTCTCAGAGGTAAAATTAGAAGTTGTGGTGGAATAAAGTGGTTCCCTCCCAACTGAGGCTATACTGTTTTGAAGTGTTCATAACCATAGCTCAAATTTTCCAACATTCTTTCTTTCCCTGGGTTCAGAGGGGAAAATGCAAAAGCACGGTGGGGAGAGATACATATTTGTATATATATGTATGTGTGACAGGGAGAGGAATCTGAGGAAACATCCACAGTTTTTGTATAAAGCATCTAGTAATTTAGTGACTGCTTTGCAGTTTCAAATTTTACTTTACAAATATAAAACACATTTTAATAAAGGCAATTTCCTAGCAATTCTTTTTAAAAAAATATATTTGGGATACTTTTTTTTCTTGATATCTTTGATTTTTTGTGTGATTGCCATATATTGACTTTCTTTTCTAATTGTGGTAAAAAACACATTAACAAAATTGACCATCTTAACCATTTTAAAGTGTAGAGTATAGTGGTGTTAGTATGAAAATTATTGTTTAACAGATAATCTATAACTTTTTCATCTTGCAAAACAAACTCTTAAATACACTGACCAACAACATCCCTTTTTACCCTCCTCTCAGTACCTGGAATCTACCATTCTAATTTCTGCTTTAAAAGGATTATACTATTTTAGGTACAGCATATAAGTGGAATCATGCAATTTTTGTTTTTTGTAATTGGCTTATTTCACTCAGCATAATGTCTTCAGGCTTTATCCATGTTATAGCATATAACAGAATTTATTTCTTTTTTAAGGTTGAATAATATTTCATTATATGTATGTATCATATTTTCTTTATCCATTTTTTCATGGTCATTTAGGTCACATCTACGTCTTGGCTACTGTGAATAATGATGCAATAAACATGGGAGTGGAAAAATCTGATCCAGAACTCAATTTCAATTCTTTTGGACACATACCTAGAAGTGGGGTTGCTGGATCATATGGTAATTCTATTTTTAAAATAATCTTTATTTATTCTTAATTGACATAATAATTGTATATAGTTATGAGGCATAATGTTGATTTATGGACATATATACATTGTGAATGATTAAATCAGGTAAATTAACATATTCATCACCTTACAAATTTATCCTTTGTGATAAAAACTTTTAAAATCTATCCTTTTAGCAATTTTAAAATCTACATAATTAACTATAGACATCAAAGTTGTACAATAGGTTACCAGAACTTACTCCTCCTACCTGAAACTTTGAAACCTTTAACTTCTCCCCTTTCCCTGTCCACTTCCTCTCCCCATGCCTTCAGCCTCTGGTAATCACTCTACTGTACTTCTGTGAGTTCAGCTTTCTTAAGATTGAAGAGTATTCCACTGTGCATACACCACATTTTCCTTATCCATTCATCCACTGGTGAACAGTTAGGTTGATTCCATATCTTGCCTATTGTGAACAATGCAGCAATGAACATGGGCATGTAGATATCTCTTCTACATACTGATTTCAATTCCTTTGAATAAATTCCCAGAAGCAGGACTGCAGGATGATATAGTTCTATTTTTAGTTTTTTGAGAAACTTCCATACTGTTTACCAAAATGGCCGTAATAATTCTTATTTTACATTACTACCAAGTGTCCAAGGGTTCTCTTTTCTCCATATCCTCATCAACTCTTCTTACCTTTCATCTTTTTGATCATAGCCATTCTAGTAGGCATGAGGTGATATTTTATTGTGGATTTAATTGGCATTTCCCTGATGTTGAACATTTTTTCATGTATCTGTTGGCCAGTTGTATATCTTCTTTCAAGAAATGTCTACTCAGGTTTTTTGCCCATTTTTAAATATAATTGTTTTCTTGCAATTTGAGTTCTTTACATATTGATATTAGCCCCTTGTCAAGATGTATGATTTTCAAATATTTTATAAAAATCTATAGGTTGTCTCTTCACGCTGTTGTTTCCTTTGCCGTGTAGCTCTTCAGTCTAATACGATCCCACTAGTCTAGTTTTGTTTTTCTATCCTGTGCTTTTAGGGTCAGATCCTAAAAATTCACTGCTGTGGAGATCAATGTTGTTAAGTTTTTTCTGTATTTTTCTAGCCATTTTACAGTTTAAAGTCTTAAGTTTAAGTTTTAATCCGTTTTCAGTTGCTTTTGCATATGTGATAGGATAAAGATTCACATTGTTCTGCTTGTGGATATACAGTTTCACAACACCATTCATTGATAAGACTGTTCCTTCTTCATTTTATGTTCTTGGCACCTTTGTAAAAAATTGACCATAATGCATGAATTTATTTCTGGGCTCTCTATCCTATTCTATTGGTCAAGGTATCTTTTTTATGTTAGTACCATGCTGTCTTGAATACCATATCTTTGCAATATATTTTGAAATCATGTAGTGTGATGCTTCCAGGTTTGTTCTTTTTTGCTCAAAATTGCTCTGGCTATCCATGGTCTTTTTGTGATTTCATACAAAGTTTTGAATTGATTTTTCTGTATCTGTGAAGAATGACATTGGAGTTTTGATAGGTAGGCATTGCATTGAATCTGTAAATTGCTTTGGATAGCAAGAACATTTTAATAATATTAATTCATCCAATCCATGAACACAGGATATCTTTCCAATTATTTGTGCTGAATTCAATTTCTTTCATCAATGTTTTATCGTTTCTGTGTAAAGATCTTTTCCTTCTCAAATTTACTCCTTTTTTTTTTTTTTT